TGGCGGTTTGCGCAGCAGCCAGGCTTCCTAGTAGAATTCTGAATTTAAGGTTCCTGGTAACTATAGTTCTTGAAAACTCTAGTTTACATAACCAGCTTTGAGAAACCCTTAATAACGTGCTCTTCTGGTAAGTGGTTCATGTAGCCCTTGGTTGTTAGTAAAAATGGCCCTCGATAAGGTGCACGCGGCTTTTCTATACCAGCCAAGGAGGGGCTTGGCGTTTGGGACTAAGCCCGGGACCCCCTGAGGGCCTCTGTCCTGCGTCACAGGCCATATGTGGTCATCGCTGCCTGGACGAGCAGGCAGCTGGGGGTTCTGCTCATGCTGCCAGAGTTCTGGCTGCAGCACCAAGGGCAGCTTTTCCTGCAACACCGAGTTGTTCGGAGTGGGGTTCCGTCAAACCCATGCCTCGGGCAGTGCCCTGACCAGGAATCCCACGTCTTGGGTTTTGCTCTTGGCCTTAGCTCTTTGGGACTGGAGGCTGTTAAGGAGAAATGCCAGCTTTTAGTAACCCTTGGCTCCCCCCCGTCTTGTGTTGTGCCCACAGACTGCCATTCCATCCACATTGGGCTTTCCGTCCCCAGTTACCTCCAAAGGAAGAAAGACCAGAAGGGTCAGCCCTCAAGCCAGCAGAAGGTCCGCTGGGGCCTGTGGCCGGATAGGGACCCGACCGGCGCGGGGAGCAGGACAAGCAGCAGGGACAGTGGTGCGGACCGTGCCAGCAGGACCCGTGAGTTCTTGAGGGGTGCGTTCTGGGGGGCCATCTGCTGTGGGTGCAGGCGAGGCATGGCTGGGCAGGAGGGAGCCTCCTGAGACGTGGCCCGGTGTCCCAGTCCCCCTCTGCTCCGCCGCTGCCATTGCGGGCGGGCTCGCTGCTCCGGCTGCCTTTAGTCAAGCTGAGCGCCTCTCTCTTGGGGGAGTTCAGTCCCCTGCTCTGATCCATTCCATGCTGATTTCATGGCTTAATGCTCCGAATTATTCCCTTCCTTTCTAAATTCCCAGGGGCCACCTGGCCGTTGCCCTAAGGACCAATACGAACACGCCCGTTGGGTGTGAGGCACTGTGCTCAGCAGACGGAATTGCTTCGTCATGACCTGCCCATTGGTCCTCCCAAGCGTGAGGAACTGGACAGAGCTGTCCAGGACCTGCAGGGGGCTGCGGAGCCCTGGGACGCTTTCTCCAGGCCCACAGAGCCCTGGGGCTTCCTCTGCGGCTGCAGAAATCAGTTCTGGGCTGATTACAAATCATTCTTTTGTTCTTTCCTGGAAAGAAAGATATCAATCTTAAGAGGAGTAAAAGGCCGGAGTTCTTAGAGCACGGCTGAGACATTTTATTCTTTTGTGACTTTACTATTTCTAGGGACATACGTGTACTCCCATCATATCCCAAATCTGCCTTCTAACTGACATTTAATTGGTTTTTATTACATATTTTTACTGTCTCGAGCAAGGCAAAATTAGTGACTTTACCATCTAAACCCTCAGAGGCATGCCAGAGGCAATCACAGGGTTTTAGTGTCCCCCTGGGAGAAGACCCGACATACATGCTCCCAAAGGCCTTCAGAACCCCTCCAACCCTGCTGCTGCCCTGAACCACTGTTCAGGCACCCAGTCTACCAGGCCTGTGGCCTTCCCAGAGTAAGCGTGTCTACAGGGATAGATGGGTTAATGGGGAGTTCGTTGAACATGCCCAGGGTAAGAGAGAAGTACTGATTAAAATACTGAAATGTAAGTTGGTACAGCCACTATGGAAACCAGTATGGAAGTTCCTCAAAAAATTAAAAATTCAACTATCATATGATTCAGCAATCCCACAACTGGGTATATACTGTGGTATCTGAAGGAAACAAAATCACTATCTCGAAGAGATGTCTGCACCCCGTGTTCATTGCAATATTATTCGTAAGAGCCAAGGTATGGAAACAACAACGTCCAGCATTGTTTATATGTATGAATATTATTCAGTCATTAGAAAGTAGGAAATGCTGATATTTACAACAGCGTGGATGGGTCTTGAAGGCACTATGCTAG